CCCCCAAAACCCCAAAACCCCAAAACCCCTAGATCCATTTGGGCTCTGAATTACTACAAAATTAAAAATGCCGAACTGCTACTTAAAGACCCTGAAGTGGTCGTATAACAGAATCAGGAACAGAGACATCTTCAGACAGTCAGTCTCCCTCACCTACAGAGGCAAGGACAACTTCTCCAACTTCGCAGGAGGCCTGGCTACTCTCATAATGTTGTTAATCCTTCTGGGTTACACTGTAGTTTTACTTAGGACTATGTTCAAGAGAACTGATGTGAGTTGGAACCAGAACTCTATTCAGACTGATCTCAGGTATGATGATACTGCGCTTGTATGGGATAAAGAAGACCCTGAATTCAAAATATATTGGGATGCTTACAAAGATGTAGGTTTATACGAAGAAGTGGATACTCCTGAAAAGTTAATAAAAACTAATTATTATCATCAAAGAAATATTCGAAACAATCCCACAAGAAAAGATACAATTCCTAATCAAAAGATCACACATACTTTAATAAGTAAGTTTCATTGACTATCTATTCCTGAAGTAATGCTGTTTATAGCTGATCTGGACTGTAGCAACAGTTTCTTAACATCAGATGATTCTCTGGGATTTGATGGTGATGCTGCTCCTCATTGTCCCAACTTTAGCGGGCATGACGTTCAAGGTAATGAAGGAGGAGAGTATACACATTCTCTGATATTTATGACTTTTAATATTTGATACGAAGACTGGAATAAATATAACGGGACATACTATTGAGCAGACAAAAAGATATCAAAAGCTATTGTAAAGAACTCGATCATAAGAATCCATTTGAATAACAGATATATTGACCTTAATAATATTGATAATCCTATTCAGAAGTACTATGACGAACCATTTCAAATTCAGTATAAAGAAGACAAGCGGACGACTGTGAAGTTCAAGCTGAGAAAGCACGAAGTCATCCTTGAGGACTCCTTCTTCCCTCTTCCTTGGGACACAGAGCCAAAGTACTTCAACAGTATTGAAGACTTCCAGATCTTTGAGGAGAACATAGTTAGTGGGAGTTTTGGTACTGTACGTGTTGAAATCTCAAGAGATCCGCAAGTTGACCAACACCAACGTAGAGTACTTAATTTCCTTGAAGTCACAGGTGTTCTCGGAGGTATCTTCGAGATTTTCGAATTAGGTTTTGGAGTACTCCTTGGGCTCTATTCGTCATTAATGTTCAAGAGAAAAATTTACAAAGATCTTGTGAAATATGAAGAGAAGTTTAAATTAATGCAAAAGTGTATTGAAAATCTACAGTCCCGGCTTGAGAACAGATCCGATTCAAATAACATTCAAGCTCAACCTGATAATCAGATAATTAATGAAGAAGTAAAGGAAGAGATGTATAACATCAGAGAGAAATCATCAAATAATTTGAATGAAGAATCCAAGCACAACTTGATCCGTCGCTTTAAAGAAGAAATTAAAGCTCATCAGTCAGATTTTTAAGCCTCTTGAAGAAGAAGGTTCCTTTCAAAATGAGGAAGAGAATAATCAGCTCAGAAGTAAGCTTTGTAATCATTTTTAAGACCCAGTAGAAGATGTGGAACAAAATAACCTTTATTTAAACCTTGGGAACCAAGCAGCTCAAAATCTTCAACATATTTTACATGAAAAGAAACTTAGTGATAGTAAATTCAAATAGAGACAAGAGCAAATTCTTCTTTATTCTGGGCAAATACAAAACAATGGAAGAGGAAATAGCAAAACTAAATGACTCCTTAGATTGCCTGGACATCGCCTATATGGTCAAAACCTTATGGATACAGACCAAGTACATTCTGCATAAAGACCCTGACTACGTTGAGGCTATCAGTCAGAATCCCTCTTTAGACTTCGATTACCAAGAAATCTATGAAGGTAGATCCCAGTCCACTCCTCCCCAATCCCGCCTCCAAAAGTACCACCCAAGCCCCTCCTCCATCCACCCCCACCCTCCAAGTTCCCCACCAGCCTCTTCCAACACTCCGATCCCTTCCTTATGGAAACAGTTCGGCCTAGCTCCACAGCTCCGAGATAATTCTTAACTGAAGGTTTTCAAGCGGAGGATTAGTAGCTGGGGTTTTGGGGTTTTGGGGTTTTGGGGTTTTGGGG